TCTGATTTTCGCTATTGCATAAATAGCGCTCTCTACTGCGAGGATCCTGCATCATACATATCTATAACCGCAGTTCAAAATATATGAACTTCATATATTCATCGTATCTGATTTATCATCACGGGTTTATTACGAATCAACTTAACGGCCTGCTCCCAGCTGGCTTGTTAGTTCAATTGGTAGAGCGCTGCACTAGTATCGCAGAGGTCAGTGATTCGAATCCCGTACAGGCCTGATTTTTTTCAGGTCTGATTTTCGCTATTGCATAAATAGCGCTCTCTACTTCGAGGATCGTGCATCATACGTGTCATAGACTTCTTCAAGGAGTTTTATGGCTATTACGGAGCCAGTGACCATTAAGGCTTAGCCGGACTAACGAACAGGAACAGGCGAAGTTGTGAAAAATTTGAAAATCTTTTAGACAAAGGTCAGAAAAATATCGATTAGATTAGCCACGGTTTTGGCTTATCTAATAAATCGAATAGCAAGCCTGTTCGTCGTTCTGTCTGCTTGTTGTGGGTAAAAGCACGAGCTCGATTTTGTACAAAGGGAAACGAGGCCCCTTTTCTTTTACATAGACTATGACTTGTCTGCCTCACCTCCATCTTGACAGCTTCCACTTTATCCAAGTGTTTGTTAAAAATGTGCTTTCGAACAAAGTCAGGACCTCGGAATTTCTTCCCACTCAGTGGGCAGAGCCACTTATCTTTCGCCAGTTCCTGAGTGTTTGCTTCAACAAACTTCTCTATTTCAGTGGTCATTGTTAAGAAATAGTAACACCAATTACACGTTAGCATTTTCATGGTTGCTTGGCTTCGGATTACCAAGCACTGAATAAACTTGAGATTGAAAACGCGTTCCAGAGAATTAACAGTCTAGTTCTGAGGCATATCCTCGGAACTGGGAATACGCGAATGGACTAGCCCCTGCCAACTTTAAATTCGTCTTAAATAAGGACAATAAACTTACGTGCTATTTTAATATTTCTAACGTTAAGAAAAACGAGAAACAAGAAAAACAAAAAAAAAACAAAAAAAAACGGTTTCCAGGTCATTTACACGGCTTCCTCTCATTTTGCAAAACTAATAAATAAATAAACAGAAAGATTAAACAAAGCAACGTTATCAAAGTAAATCAATTTCAGGTATCGAGTTAACGACCACCATTGCATAGACTGGTGTGTGGAATTCATAATTAGTGTACGCTCAAATCAGTTTCCAATTCCACGCAAAGGAATTTTATGAATCCAGTTTCTTAGATTTAAAGTGCACCTACACCCAAAAAATTTTTTTCGCTTAACGAAGTAAGCTTATTTTTTTGAGTATTTCTGCGCAAAAATTTTTTTATTTGCTCAAATCTTCAATTTTCTATGCCCAGTCAAAATACGGAAAATCGGCCGCCATCTTGCCCCACGACCGAGTTTAAAGAGGAATGGCTCTAGTGGGTAATGTGACGTCAAATCGAGAACACGAAAGTCTGCATCTCACACATTTTCACTTGTTTGGGAAGATTGTCGTCGATATTGTCCGAAATATGCCGACTAGGTGTGTTGTATGAAGATGTATAGCAACGTGCGAAATTTGCAAGAGGGTATCGCGCTTCATACATTCTTCATACAACACACCTAGTCGGCATATTTCGGACAATATCGACGACAATCTTCCCAAACAAGTGAAAATGTGTGAGATGCAGACTTTCGTGTTCTCGATTTGACGTCACATTACCCGCTAGAGCCATTCTTCTTTAAACTCGGTCGTGGGGCAAGATGGCGGCCGATTTTCCGTATTTTGACTGGGCATAGAAAATTAAAGATTTGAGCAAATTAAAAAATTTTTGCACAGAAATACTCCAAAAAATAAGCTTATTTCGTTAAGCGAAAAAAAAATTTTGGGTTTAGGTGCACTTTAATTTAATTTGAAAAGAAGACAAAAATATCGTTCGGGCGAGAGAAGTACATGAATCCACGTTCTCTTGGTTTGGGTGGTAACTGTTATCAATACTGAACGAGGCGTATACTAAATATAACATTTAATTTCTAGGTTTATTCCGTGTTTTCGTTCTGAAAAAAACATTACCTTTAGTTTTTATCATCGTTCGACATTTCATATGATTTGTTTCTCGAAATGAAAAGAAAAAAATCGAAGTATGTCACCTTGCCATCTTTAATTTTGCACGATGCGCGAACTTCACATTAATGCATCAATACACGCTATGCATAATGAAAATTTGCTTAAGAAGCCTGGTAACTAGTTTGCACGAAAGCGAGGCCCGTCGTCAGTGTTTTTCTTCCTTCGGAGGCTTTTACATTGGTTAACACAAAATGAGCTCGGTTTCAAACAATCTAAAGCTTTCAGAAGCAGATATTTCTGGTTTATCACTAAGCAGGAGAGCTCCAGCTAATTTAAAAGTACAAGAACTAAAATTCTGGCTAAAATGCAGAGGAGATCCCGCCAAAGGTCTAAAGACGAAAGCCCAACTTGTTAAAAGGTAAGACAACAACAATTGAACCTACTTTTAAAATATCAAGAAGCCCATTGATATTAGTGGCCATGAAAAAAAGAAAAGTCTTAAAATCTTTTGAAGCTTTCGGTCGTGCTGAAGGTACTTGACGCTTGCTTGGTGACTTTCTCTTTTTAGGAGACTGAAAAGACCAAGCAAACTTTGATGGCATGGATTCCTGGCTTTAGTTTGATAATTCCTGCCAGCGATGTTTTCATGTCTGTAGTCTTGAAATGCCTTGAACAAACTTTCGTACGACTAGTGAGTTGAAAATCCTTTCCAGGATCTCTTCGAATCGCATGAATCCAACTCTTACGTAAGTTTGGGTCCTTTGGAAAGTTAAAGGAGCACTGATGAAACCGCCCTATAATTTGAAAACCCGAAAAATTCAGTGATTTCATTATATATGAATTTTTAGCGATTAATAAAGCCTTTTCAGGAATAATTTTAGTTGAAAGTCAATTCTGGGGCGAGAAATTACGATTTGAAAACCGTTCCGCCATTAATTTTCCTAATCACGACCAACTTATCTTCGGTCAGCGGTCACTCCCATTGTGACGTAGATTACTCAACACACTTTTATATTTATAAGGAAACCTCGCGAAATTTAGTGAAATAGTCGTAGTCTTAGTGTTATAAAAAGCAAAATATACGATCAAAATACTGTTTTTGAAAATTAGCCACGAGTACGGCACGTCAAATGAGTAATCTCCAAACTCGAGCCAGTCTTCTTGAGTCTGGCAAGTGATTAATGGCGGAACGGTTTTCAAATCGTAATTTCTCGCCCTAGAATTGACTTTCAACTAAAATTATTATTGAAAAGGCTTTGTTAATCGCTAAAAATTCATATTATAATGAAATAATTTAATTTTTCGGGTTTTCAAATTATAGGGCGGTTTCATCAGAGTGCTCCTTTAAAGAATGAAACTTTGTCTCCTCTTCCATTCCGATAACCCTTGAAGGTACACTGAGGAACACAACAGTTCAAAGACATCGATCGGAAGCCACACAAAATGAACCAAAAGTGTTGAAAAATATGACACAAATTCTAATACATTTAGCTTCGTAAACACACAGTAGCCCGACGGACCTCGCTTTCGTGCAAGCTTGTTACCAGGCTTCCCAAGAAAATTTTCATTATGCATAGCGTGATAACAAGAACCGATAAACAGTGACATGTCATCATCCTTTGCCATGCGTCAAAAATGAGGGAACATGAACAACACACATATGTTATTCAAATAATTAAAGGATATGCTTCAGGGTCTTTCTTCCCAAGCTGGGCAACCTCCTCATCCTTGAGCGATTCCTTCTCTTGTAGAAAAGGTTCAAGCTTCTGATTTATACCAGTTTGCCATTCTTGAACTGTCATAAAACAGAAAGTAGCACTATTAGCACAATTCAGACAACACATCCTTTCTGTATCTAACTAGTTTTCTACTCCTTGACTGTGCACATAGTTAACACTCCGGTATCTGTTTTGTTTAAAACGCCGGCAATTACCCAGTAAGAAAAAGATAGACAAGTAATCAGTGATTTGTCAGTCTGACATACCCCGAACAATTAGGGCTTACTAAGTTTTCAGAGTTCTCAAATATCTAACCACAGGCATCCCAAGCTCACGTCTCGAGAAAAAAAAGAAAAGATTGATTCTTGAAAGCGTCACTAACTTACTCCTTTAAAACAGTGCTGGCAAAGCAAGCCCACAACGGCAGATATCGCCAAAAACTACAACGGACACGCAAGGAGTAAGTTTTATCAATCCTACGAGTAAAATGTTCATATTTAGGAATCTTTAGTGTTGTAAATGGACCCATTTCGTTTCCCATACTATTCCTTATCACGCGTTCCAATTCTCAAGGGTTCCTCACACAACGTGTGACGCTTTCACAATCGATCTTTTGCTTCTTTTCGAGACTTGAATTTGGGACACTTGTAGTGTTAAGTTGCTAATCTACACTGGCCTTCGTAAAGAGATTCTAAAGTTGACGTTTAGAGTGTTAGCCCCTCGTTAGAGCGAATAGAGGCCGAAAGTAATAAACAGCCTCCGAAACCGCCCGGTCGGCTTTAGAAGACTTAGAAATTCTTAAGGTGGCAAATTCACTTTGTCGACTTAGTTGGTAAAAAAAAAAAAATTATCTTGGTATTCTAGTCACCCACAGTTTTACTTTAAAAAAGAAATTTCCATGTTAAACGAAAAGAAAAATAAGCGATTACAGTTTGCATGTTTGTACCTTCAGACAGAGTGCACTTCTCAGGTGCGGCACCACGCACATGAATAATACCACATCTATTAGGCATTTCATCCTCATAAGGATAGTCTGTACCATTGTAGTAATCCACTGAATGAACCACCCTTAAATACAGAATCAAACGATCTAACACACGCATAAGACTGCTGTCACATGATAAATCAACCTCGGGTTTCTCCTCCTCAGAGTCCCCCTGAGACGTTGAGGTTGTCCGCATAAGTTCCATTTCCTCGCCTTCTTCTTCTTCGGCGGCATCTTGAGACAGAGAGGATAGAATAGGGTTTTCATTCGGTAGGTCGGGTATTTCACATTCATCCGCAGGTTTAGCTTCACATTCTTCACCCTCCTCCGTTTTCTGTGCAGCAAAAAAAGTAATGAAAATGAGATGCGTCAATAATCCCTGAGAGAGCAGATAAGCCATCCAGTTAAAACTTCTCACAATAACAACAAAGAGACAGCAGAACAAAATTCCTGAGGCATATCAGCCCGCAGTTGAAAAGCGGAGCTATGAGAGGATGAATGCTGACGACCAAACTTCACCAAAATACCCCAAATAAGAGCAAGAGCTTCCTATCTGGTAGCAATGAAGTGCGTAACCAAGAATCACAGTATACCAGTTGAAACCCCACCAATAAATAATTAGTGATGGCGAATGAAAATCGTTACTGTTTAACAACAATGACTCATTTCAAAGAAAAAAGCAATTTCCTTGTTAAGTCTTACAAGAATAAAAAAATAAAAAAAAAAAAAAAAAAAAAAACACGTTCTGATTCCTTTTAATAATAGCTTTCACGGTGCCTTACGGTACAGGCCAAATCGAGCTTTGGGTAGCCTACTTAAAGGACCCTTCTTCCGTATTAAAAGCCATAGATTGTGGCTATCTTGACTAACAAAAGAAGTGTAGAACCACGCACAATGTCCAAGTAAACTGTTGTAATTTTTTTTCTCTTTGGTGAACATGTTCTTGCATTTTCGTAACACAGCCAGCATTACAAGAGTATGCTCTGACTGTGTGTTGCAAAGCAAAATTCAATGTTGCACAGGATCACATTTATTAACCAAGACGATGGAAAGATGTGCCATGCTCGGTGCCGACTGTGCAAATTAAAAAAAATTCTGAGAATACAAAAAGTGTTAATGAATCACGTGGCTGTAGATAGCTTTTACCTCAGCCGCTTCTTTCTCGGCCTTCTCCCTCGCCTCAGTCTCTTCCTTGGTCTCCTTTTCATATAAAGCAGCTCTCTTATCAAACTCTCTGATGAGCCTGGCCGCTAACTTGATGTCATGGCGGATGGCTTGTTTAGCCAAAGCAGCACCAGCCACTGACCGAACTCGTCGAGAAAGATCCCTGTTCACAACTGGACTTAACTCTGCATCTTTTACCTTCAGGGAGGAAAGATGTTGGCATTGTTTGCTACTTATCACTGGAAGGCTTGGTAAAACTGTATGACCATAGCAATAACTTACTAATAGTTTTCTGCCGAATTGTTGTCATTGGGTGACTGGGCACAACGATCACAGTTTTTTCTCCACGAGCAATTTCTACTGATGTAATTGTTACAAAAAAATAAAACTGCAACAAAGCAATGCAAATGGATAGAGCGCTGGACTGTTGTGCGGGAGGTCGAGGGTTCGAGCCCCGGCCGGACCAACACTCAAGGTCTTAAAATAATTGAGAAGAATTTGCTACCTTTCTTTAACATCAAGAAATGGTTAGATATTCTAGTCTTCTCGGATAGGGACGAATAAATGGAGGTCCCGTCTCCTGCAGGGTTGGGGTAGGAGACGTTAATTTCCCACACACGAGATTACTGTGTGATGGATGTCCTCCCCTGGGGTGGGATGGGTGGGATATAGGGCGCACTTAATTTGGAGCCTCGCTCTGTTGTGCGACCCTCACCA